ATGCGAACTACTTTCGACCGTCAAGTGAAAACTGCCGTCTAAATTAAGTAACATTTCCTAGCTCAGTCCTCTCTCTCCTCAGGCTTGAGGTCAATTAATCAGAACATGCAAGAAATCTAGTTTGACATCCAAATGCTAATAAAGCAAATATTTGTTTAGAATACTTATCATATTTTTAACAAACAAAGAAGCGAAAAGTAATTTCTATACCTTATGAACAAATATTACTTAAGTGAATGAAAGAATGAATGAAACTTTACTATTTGCTAATTTTCTGAATATATGGGGAGTAATCTTGAGATGGCCAATAACCCTGCCTTCCCTCCCCCATTTTGTTCTCTCTTTCTTTATCTGCATTTAAATAGCAATCAGACTAAAGTAAAATTTGCTTAAATTGACAAAACGTCTGTAGCCCTGGGGCGCTCTCTGAACTGCCAAAACATCAGTCGTGCATGGCTAAGCATATATCTTTATAACACTCATGATCAGGCCAGCTATCTGTGTAGGATTTCACAATTTCGGACACAGAACTGACGCATTTTGAAACAGGCATCAAATTGTTGGAGGGATCTAATTCAACTTCCAGCGTCACGATGTGTCACAGCGCAGCAAACTGTAAGTCAAAGATTTAGTTAACGAACTTCCCATTCGCTGCTTTTCCACTCTGAAATTGTTTGTTAGTGCTCGCGCTGCTGTGTGGAGCAAGGCCGGCGTTTATCTTCTGCTGTTACGTGCAGGTGTTTGAAAAGAACATGTGGCTAAGTAACAGGTTGATTAAGGTCTCAAGCCGGGCCTCATTTGGTCCGTAGGTATGTTTTAAGGCGTACTATACGCAACAGCGGTCAAGACCACGGAATAATTACATCGAAATTACATGTTCTTCACATTTAGGTTAAGAGTATTATTCCTGAAAGAGGTTAGCTCGCTTTGATGCTATTATCTGTTCTTTAGCAATGGGGTGTTTTAGATTTAATATCGCTAGATGTTCACAACGTTACGAGTCAATCTCCTGTAATACAAAGTTCAGTGTTAAATATATCAGACTTAGCATATACCATACGTACTTATTCATAAGCGCGCGCGTGGTCCTTCTTATGGCATACATTCATCATAACAAAATATCACCGCTCGACCACAACGAACACAAATTACGACGCAGAGTCCACAGCAGGCTGGAGAAATTTTAAAACGTAGCTTTATTTCTACGGTTAGGACTACCGTCCGCACTAATCCGTCACGAAAACGGAGCTTTTCGAAAACGCTCTCTAAACTGGAGGAATTTCAAAAACGTCGGATTTTCGTTTTCGTGTGAACGGAGAACATTTTGAAGACGGATTTTTTCGAAAACAATGACGTGACAATAATCATGTGATTTCCCCGCCCAAGTTTTCCTCAAACACAAATCCAAAATGATCGGTGGTTGTTGCGTTTTTAAATTCCCCGGCGTAGTGTGAACGGAAAAGCTTTCGGATGTGTTTTAAAGTGAAAACTCCGTTTTCAAATTTCTTCGGCGTAGTGTGGACGGGGCGTAAAAATTGATAACGCCCACATGCCCAGCCGAGACAAAAGAAGTGAAAAACTAATTAAGAAAACCACAGCGGAGACAAATTATAAGAGCAAATGCCACAGCGGAGAAACATATGAGAACAAAATGAAGTCGGAGAACCACTTTATGATGGTAATTTGATGTGATATTTTTAGTACTTTACCTCACCTCAGTTCCTTCAGGTTACTTCAGTTTACTTCACTCTACTTTGCTTTTATTTGCTTTGCCTCCATTTAATTTTTTTGCGGAGCCAAATTATAAGTACATAATTAATTACAAGAACCACATCGGAAACAAAATGTAGGGTCAAACATGAAAGGAAAGCTAAACCGGAGACAAATTCCAAGGATACAAGAGACATAAGCCACAGCGGAGCCAAATAATAAAAACAAAGTTACGAGACAACGTCGTCGTATATGAAAACTAAATCGGAAGCATACTACACAGCAAAGGCTTTGTCGTTAAGGGGAAAGGGTGTCATCTTAATTTGCTGATTAGCGTAAGTGTTCCAAGGCGCCGTTAACGGTAGCCTAGACAAGATACGATTACTGGTCAGGAATTGTCTGGCGCTATCGGACCTATCGGAGAAATTATAAGACATCAAAAAAGTCGAGTGAATTGATTAAATGTGACATTGTTCTATACTCCTTTATCTGTTCAATTTACAACTGGTTTTGTTTTAGCATAACCCAGCGACTGACGGTTGGCATGTCATGTATGCAGTTTGGTTGGCTAAACAAGTATCTTGTAGCTCACGTCGTTATTTTTTTTAGCTTTGTCATTCCTTCTAGAATCTTTTTGGCTTTAAAAATGTAAACTCTCTAAATTTTTCCACGCCATTAAACAAATCTTCACAGATCGAACCGGGCTGAAATTACTAATTATACGAATATTTCCTCGTTGGACAATACTTGTTTTGCGCGTGGTGACGGACCTAAGACCGACTTCACATCTCTTGGGAGGCTCGATTTCCGCCGCTCTAACGTGCCTGGGGCCCGTTTCTTGAAAGCCCCAGAAACTTTTCGGGCCCGTAAAGCCATTTTTAATTTCTCTGTATGTAAAAACTGAGAGGTGTACACGCCTGNCCAAATAACAAAAACAAAGTTACGAGACAACGTCGTCGTATATGAAAACCAAATCGGAAGCATACTACACAGCAAAGGCTTTGTCGTTAAGGGGAAAGGGTGTCATCTTAATTTGGTCATTAGCTTGAGTGTTCCAACGCGCCGTTAACGGTAGCCTAGACAAGATACGATTACTGGTCAGGAATTGTCTGGCGCTATCGGAGAAATTATAAGACATCAAAAAAGTCGAGTAAATTACTTAAATGTGACATTGTTCTATACTCTTTTATCTGTTCAATTTACAACTGGTTTTGTTTTAGCATAACCCAGCGACTGACGGTTGGTATGTCATGAATGCAGTGTGGTTGGCTAAACAAGGATCTTGTAGCTCACGTCGTTATTTTTTTAGCTTTGTCATTCCTTCTAGAATTTTTTTGGCTTTAAAAATGAAACTCTCTAAATTTTTCCACGCCATTAAACAAATCTCCACAGATCGAACCGGGCTGAAATTACTAATTACACGAATATTTCCTCGTTGGACAATACTTGTTTTGGGCGTGGTGACGGAACTAAGACCGACTCCACATCTCTTGGGAGGCTCGATTTCCGCCGCTCTAACGTGTCTGGGGCCCGTTTCTTGAAAGCCCCGGAAACTTTTCGGGCCCGTAAAGCCATTTTTAATTTCTCTGTATGTAAAAACTGAGAGGTGTACACGCCTGAAACTTCTTGCATGAATAAAATGGCGCTTTAATCATAAGGTTTCAGATTTTGAGACAGCTTTCCGGACGCGAAAACGTTTCGGGACCTTCGAGAAACGTGCCCAGGCCTGCGTTCCCCCGAACAGCGGCTGGTAATCGAGCCTGACCTCTTGGCTGCTATTTACAGTACAAATTGCGATTCCAATGACGAATTCCTTGCTCTAATATTCCTTACTTTAATTTTAGGTACAACGAGTTGATTACAAACACTAGATACGACATCTTGAAGTCTGGTTGTTGAGGATAGTTCTAACAAGCCGCAGTCTAAATGGGATCTGAACTGAACGAATCTGTCATCCTTTCAAACTATTCAGCGTACATCGCACCAAATGATCCGCCATTCTATGTGGAACCACCATCTCTCAAGATATTTCGCTTTGTGATCTACGCCATTATCATCGTGTTGGCTCTAGTGGGCAATATTGCCGTGTGTATCATTTCTACTCGCACTCGACGCCTTCAGACTAGCACCTATTGTTTACTAATGAATTTAGCAGTTTCTGACATCGGATCTGTGATGTGCCTTCCATTTCTGTTGCCAGAGCTGTACATTGGAAACTGGCCCATGGGAGAAGCAATGTGCAAACTTGTTAAACCAAGTGTGGTCATGTTTAACTTTGTGACAACCAATACGTTGGTAGCCATTGCGTGTGATCGTTTTCGCGCCGTGGTGTTTCCGTTCGTTTCGCGACCGTCGAAATCGGAAACACGATCAATCATAGCTTTGTTATGGCTGATCGCTTTCTTATTTTCCCTGCCCTCGTATGGAGCTATGGCAGTTATTTCCTACCCAGACAGTCCTTACACCTTCTACTGTATAGATATTTTCTCGGACAACATGGACAAAGACATTTTGTATCGCCGCATTTACACTATAACAATGTACAGTGTACAAGCCCTTGTTCCAGTACTTGTCATCTCGGCGCTGTATTTGAAAATCACGGCCACGTTGAAGCATATCCGTCTTGTACCAGTAGCAGTGAGGCCCTCTCGTGCAAGCTCTCTGAACTCCACGCCCAGCGCGAGCCCGCACTCCTCCATCGTGAATCTAAACAAACTCAACATGAATCCGGCAGGCGCACTGCGGAGGCAGATGATCGAGAGAAAGTTCCTGACAATGCTGATGGTTGTGTTGGTTGTTTTCGTGCTCTGTTATATTCCATTCCAAACTTTATATCTCATTTACGAGTTCAATCCAGAGTTGGGATATTTCACATTCATGCAACCGTTATCTGACTTCCTTTACTTGATTGTGTGGCTGCCCAACGCCCTTAACCCAATATGCTACGGTTGTCTAAACCAACACTACAAGAAGGCCTTCAAGGCGCTGATTTTCAGGCCTCGTAAGTTCTTTCAGTCGCTGAGATCGCGTCAGAGTTTTTCCCAATCTCTCGTTGGCACCAGCGCAAATAGAATACGCTAGACCTCACGTGGCCAGTGGGAACTACGTAGAGAAAAGAACGGTTGATCATATCCTCGTAGGGATAAAAAGGACTTTAGGATTGTCATGAGTGCCTTATTGATGCAGGCCTTTATGGGCTTAGCAAACAGAGCTCGCTATTCTATTTAGTTTCGATACGTTGACGATACCTTCACCTTGTTCGGCAGTAATAACACAGCAATTGGGGTTCTACACTACCTCAANCCGTCTTGTACCACTGGCACTCAGGCCCTCTCGCGCAAGCTCTCTGAACTCCACGCCTAACGGGAGCCCGCGTTCCTCGATGGTGAATATAAACAAGCTGAACATGAATCCGGCAGGCGCACTGCGCAGGCAGATGATTGAAAAAAAGTTCTTGACAATGTTGATAGCTGTACTGCTTGTCTACGTGCTCTGTTATCTTCCCTTTCAAACACTGTATCTAATTTACGAGTTTAATCCAGACATGGGCTATTTACCTTATATACAATTGTTGATTGATTACTTCTACGTGATTGTGTGGCTGCCCAATGCCATAAATCCTATCTGTTACGGTTGCATGAACGAACACTACAAGAAGGCTTTTAAATCGCTGATTTTCAGGCCTCGTAAGTTCTTTCATTCGCTGAGATCGCGGAATAGTTTTTCCCAATCTCTCGTTGGCACCACTGCATATAGAATACGCTAGACTGTGGCCAGTAGGAATTACGTAGAGAAAGGAACACAATATACTTTCTGTATGCTATTAGCCGTGGTACCTTGATGCCGTGAAGGTTGTTTGGTTGAGTTTCAACCTTGTGATCGCCCGACTTCGGCTCGATAGGCTTTTAGAAAGAAAATGAAGCTTAGCATTTTACCATGGTGAGAAACATCAAAACAAACCCAAAAACCGAAAAAACAAGATCGAGAACAAAGTTATGATTTAAGACTCAAGTACGCTGAGAAGGTGAAGAAAGTTTTACCAAGAAAAAATGACATCAGATATATTTATTTGCGTTGCAATGCTCTGATAATTGTGTAATACAGTATGTAAAATATTTTTGTGAAAACAAATTATGTCAGGCATGTATACGGATATTTAAAAGAGTTGTAAATAGATTAGAGCTTTATTGTTATGACAAGAGAATATGATGAATTTTACTCGCCTTGTTAATCAACTGCACTCACATTGAGACGAGGAGCTGAACGAAAAAATTCGACCTGAATAAACTAAATGACCTTTGTCCATGTGCTTGAGCAGATAAGCTGTCTCTTTCCCGCTAAAAAGTTTCTTCTCTCCTTTCGTAGCAGTCATTTCTTTGTTCGAGAGCGACAGAGGTACGTGAAAAGCCAGCTCTAGGAGCATGGGATGCAAGACAGAAAGAAAAAGAAGTTGACATATTGAAAACTTTTTATGCGCTTCTGGTTCTCTCACAAAGAAAACTAACAGGGCTGATTCAGGGCCCTTGCTCATGAGCCCTGTCAACCGGGCTGGCTCGGTTTCCGAGATCTCGCCTCGCCCCTTTTTTCTTCGTAAAAATCCAGTGATGTGTTCTTATGAGGAGCCGAGCTGGCCCGAGATCTAGGAAACTGGGATGCAAACACTCCAGCACGGGTGACCGGGACGAAACTTTTTTGACAAAACAGAATAGCATAATTTTTTCCTTGTACGTATTTCCACTTCAAAAAAGGCCTATCCCCTCTATGAAACACGCCTGCAGGGAATCAAGGTAGTTGTATTCATCTTGTCGGGGCTGGATATTTGTTTTGATGAGGACAAATACTATGATTCCCTTCAGGCACATCTAAAGGGAATTGGCCATTAGCTTTCTTTTTAATAAAGTTACGTCAGTCAACAAAGCTACGATAGTCGCAAAAGATACGCTTTTTTTGGCAGCATTTAAGTTTTGTTTCATCAGTTATCCTGGTCGAGTAGCCCGAAGAGACAAATTTCGACTTGGTAACCGAGTCTGCGCGGTTACCGGGCTCACGAAGGGGTTCTCAGCGTCGTTTACAGAACGTTTGTATTTGCAATCCCGGAAATAAAATCACGCTCTATCTTTTCCCGGATCCCTTGAGTTACCAGTGTCTCTAGTCCAAATATACTTGCTCTGACTAATCTAATCTCTAATTTTGTGTTTTCTGTTTTTTGTTTGCATGGAAACAACTGACCATGACCACCACCACTCAACACCAGAACGGCTTTCAGTTAAGTATCGAAATGAAACCAAAACGAAAGTGAGCACTCTGGCCAATCACAAAGGACACACACAATACAGTGAACCAATCAAAACTCGAGACATACATGTAGCTGACACAAAGCGCGGAAAAACGTGTGCGGGTAAGTCAAGCTTGGTTTAGTCTTCTACTATCCATGGTTTTACTTCTGATTGGATAACACAGCAGTGCTCGAGTTAAGCGTAGCAATGCAAAACTAAAGCAAATGCGAACTACTTTCGACCGTCAAGTGAAAACTGCCGTCTAAATTAAGTAACATTTCCTAGCTCAGTCCTCTCTCTCCTCAGGCTTGAGGTCAATTAATCAGAACATGCAAGAAATCTAGTTTGACATCCAAATGCTAATAAAGCAAATATTTGTTTAGAATACTTATCATATTTTTAACAAACAAAGAAGCGAAAAGTAATTTCTATACCTTATGAACAAATATTACTTAAGTGAATGAAAGAATGAATGAAACTTTACTATTTGCTAATTTTCTGAATATATGGGGAGTAATCTTGAGATGGCCAATAACCCTGCCTTCCCTCCCCCATTTTGTTCTCTCTTTCTTTATCTGCATTTAAATAGCAATCAGACTAAAGTAAAATTTGCTTAAATTGACAAAACGTCTGTAGCCCTGGGGCGCTCTCTGAACTGCCAAAACATCAGTCGTGCATGGCTAAGCATATATCTTTATAACACTCATGATCAGGCCAGCTATCTGTGTAGGATTTCACAATTTCGGACACAGAACTGACGCATTTTGAAACAGGCATCAAATTGTTGGAGGGATCTAATTCAACTTCCAGCGTCACGATGTGTCACAGCGCAGCAAACTGTAAGTCAAAGATTTAGTTAACGAACTTCCCATTCGCTGCTTTTCCACTCTGAAATTGTTTGTTAGTGCTCGCGCTGCTGTGTGGAGCAAGGCCGGCGTTTATCTTCTGCTGTTACGTGCAGGTGTTTGAAAAGAACATGTGGCTAAGTAACAGGTTGATTAAGGTCTCAAGCCGGGCCTCATTTGGTCCGTAGGTATGTTTTAAGGCGTACTATACGCAACAGCGGTCAAGACCACGGAATAATTACATCGAAATTACATGTTCTTCACATTTAGGTTAAGAGTATTATTCCTGAAAGAGGTTAGCTCGCTTTGATGCTATTATCTGTTCTTTAGCAATGGGGTGTTTTAGATTTAATATCGCTAGATGTTCACAACGTTACGAGTCAATCTCCTGTAATACAAAGTTCAGTGTTAAATATATCAGACTTAGCATATACCATACGTACTTATTCATAAGCGCGCGCGTGGTCCTTCTTATGGCATACATTCATCATAACAAAATATCACCGCTCGACCACAACGAACACAAATTACGACGCAGAGTCCACAGCAGGCTGGAGAAATTTTAAAACGTAGCTTTATTTCTACGGTTAGGACTACCGTCCGCACTAATCCGTCACGAAAACGGAGCTTTTCGAAAACGCTCTCTAAACTGGAGGAATTTCAAAAACGTCGGATTTTCGTTTTCGTGTGAACGGAGAACATTTTGAAGACGGATTTTTTCGAAAACAATGACGTGACAATAATCATGTGATTTCCCCGCCCAAGTTTTCCTCAAACACAAATCCAAAATGATCGGTGGTTGTTGCGTTTTTAAATTCCCCGGCGTAGTGTGAACGGAAAAGCTTTCGGATGTGTTTTAAAGTGAAAACTCCGTTTTCAAATTTCTTCGGCGTAGTGTGGACGGGGCGTAAAAATTGATAACGCCCACATGCCCAGCCGAGACAAAAGAAGTGAAAAACTAATTAAGAAAACCACAGCGGAGACAAATTATAAGAGCAAATGCCACAGCGGAGAAACATATGAGAACAAAATGAAGTCGGAGAACCACTTTATGATGGTAATTTGATGTGATATTTTTAGTACTTTACCTCACCTCAGTTCCTTCAGGTTACTTCAGTTTACTTCACTCTACTTTGCTTTTATTTGCTTTGCCTCCATTTAATTTTTTTGCGGAGCCAAATTATAAGTACATAATTAATTACAAGAACCACATCGGAAACAAAATGTAGGGTCAAACATGAAAGGAAAGCTAAACCGGAGACAAATTCCAAGGATACAAGAGACATAAGCCACAGCGGAGCCAAATAATAAAAACAAAGTTACGAGACAACGTCGTCGTATATGAAAACTAAATCGGAAGCATACTACACAGCAAAGGCTTTGTCGTTAAGGGGAAAGGGTGTCATCTTAATTTGCTGATTAGCGTAAGTGTTCCAAGGCGCCGTTAACGGTAGCCTAGACAAGATACGATTACTGGTCAGGAATTGTCTGGCGCTATCGGACCTATCGGAGAAATTATAAGACATCAAAAAAGTCGAGTGAATTGATTAAATGTGACATTGTTCTATACTCCTTTATCTGTTCAATTTACAACTGGTTTTGTTTTAGCATAACCCAGCGACTGACGGTTGGCATGTCATGTATGCAGTTTGGTTGGCTAAACAAGGATCTTGTAGCTCACGTCGTTATTTTTTTTAGCTTTGTCATTCCTTCTAGAATCTTTTTGGCTTTAAAAATGTAAACTCTCTAAATTTTTCCACGCCATTAAACAAATCTTCACAGATCGAACCGGGCTGAAATTACTAATTATACGAATATTTCCTCGTTGGACAATACTTGTTTTGCGCGTGGTGACGGACCTAAGACCGACTTCACATCTCTTGGGAGGCTCGATTTCCGCCGCTCTAACGTGCCTGGGGCCCGTTTCTTGAAAGCCCCGGAAACTTTTCGGGCCCGTAAAGCCATTTTTAATTTCTCTGTATGTAAAAACTGAGAGGTGTACACGCCTGAAACTTCTTGCATGAATAAAATGGCGCTTTAATCATAAGGTTTCAGATTTTGAGACAGCTTTCCGGACGCGAAAACGTTTCGGGACCTTCGAGAAACGTGCCCAGGCCTGCGTTCCCCCGAACAGCGGCTGGTAATCGAGCCTGACCTCTTGGCTGCTATTTACAGTACAAATTGCGATTCCAATGACGAATTCCTTGCTCTAATATTCCTTACTTTAATTTTAGGTACAACGAGTTGATTGCAAACACTAGATACGACATCTTGAAGTCTGGTTGTTGAGGATAGTTCTAACAAGCCGCAGTCTAAATGGGATCTGAACTGAACGAATCTGTCATCCTTTCAAACTATTCAGCGTACATCGCACCAAATGATCCGCCATTCTATGTGGAACCACCATCTCTCAAGATATTTCGCTTTGTAATCTACGCTATTATCATCGTGTTGGCTCTAGTGGGCAATATTGCCGTGTGTATCATTTCTACTCGCACTCGACGCCTTCAGACTAGCACCTATTGTTTACTAATGAATTTAGCAGTTTCTGACATCGGATCTGTGATGTGCCTTCCATTTCTGTTGCCAGAGCTGTACATTGGAAATTGGCCCATGGGAGAAGCAATGTGCAAACTTCTTAAACCAAGTGTGGTCATGTTTAACTTTGTGACAACCAATACGTTGGTAGCCATTGCGTGTGATCGTTTTCGCGCCGTGGTGTTCCCGTTCGTTTCGCGACCGTCGAAATCGGAAACACGATTAATCATAGCTTTGTTATGGCTGATCGCTTTCTTATTTTCCCTGCCCTCGTATGGAGCTATGACAGTTATTTCCTACCCAGACAGTCCTTACACCTTCTACTGTATAGATATTTTCTCGGACAACATGGACAAAGACATTTTGTATCGCCGCATTTACACTATAACAATGTACAGTGTACAAGCCCTTGTTCCAGTACTTGTCATCTCGGCGCTGTATTTGAAAATCACGGCCACGTTGAAGCATATCCGTCTTGTACCAGTAGCAGTGAGGCCCTCTCGTGCAAGCTCTCTGAACTCCACGCCCAGCGCGAGCCCGCACTCCTCCATCGTGAATCTAAACAAGCTGAACATGAATCCGGCAGGCGCGCTGCGCAGGCAGATGATCGAGAGAAAGTTCCTGACAATGCTGATGGTTGTGTTGGTT